GCTCCCTCAGCACTGACCCTCCGACAGTGCGGCTCTCCCTCAGCACCGACTCTCTGACAGTGCGGCGCTCCCTCAGCACTGACCCTCCGACAGTGCGGCTCTCCCTCAGCACCGACTCTCTGACAGTGCGGCGCTCCCTCAGCACTGACCCTCCGACAGTGCAGAGCTCCCTCAGTGTTGAACTGGGAGTGTTTGGCTAGAATATGAGCTCCTTTCTGTCAACTCAGACTTGAACTCACAGTCGACAGCCTCCAGTGTGAGATCCATCTCCCCTAACTATTAAAGCCTTGTGGGAAACTGGAAGAAAGCAGTGTGTTTCCCAGATCAGAGCCCCTACTGTCTCGTTATCAAATAATAACCCGTTATGGGCAAGACATGCTGGACTAGCCAAGATGGCCTCATCTCCTGAATGAATAGAAATTATCTGGTATGTGCCTGGAAACTCATCTGTGTGTTTACACAGCTGCCTTTGGTTGGGGATCCCTTGTTTATCCCAGAGGAATAGGAAATAGTCAATAAAGAGAGGGGTGACTGAAAGAGAAGGTGTTGGATGACAGACACATTGTTCAAATCTGAGTGTCTTTTTTGACTGAGTGAATCTCTCCAAGTTTGAGGTGGAACCGGACAGTTTGTGAGCGTTTCAGCATAAACTTCCCACCACCATAGGCTCGTTTATGGTCAAACATTAAATATAGGAACATTTGTTCAAAGGACAAGAGTGTGCTCCACACCAAGGGATGTCCTGCTCTCTGCCTTCACCTGCTTATCTACATCTCATTTTATTGAAATGCTTCGTGTTTGTGTTTGTCCCTGCTAGCGTGCGTTCTCTAAACTGCTCCATTCCGGAATAGTGACTTCATCCACATCAACTCACATCCGCACAATCCCCATAAGACCATCAGATATAAGAACAGAATTAGACCATTTGGCCCATCGAGTCTGCTCTACCATTCAATCGTGGCTGATACATTTCTCAACCCCATTCTCCTGCCTTTTCCCTGTAACCCCGGATCCCCTTACTAATCAGGAACCTATCTATCTCTGTCTTAAATGCACTAAATAACTTGTCCTCCACAGCCCTCTGTAACAATGGGTTCCACAGATTCACCACCCTCTGGCTGAAGAAATTCCTCCTCATCTCAGTTCTAAAGGGTTGTTCATCACTTTGAGGCTGTGCCTTCAGGTCCTAGACTCTCCTACTAATGGAAACATCTTCTCCACATCCACTGTATCCAGGCCCCTCAGTATTCCGTAAGTTTCAATGAGATTCCCCACTCATCCTTCCAAACTCCATCAAGTACAGACCCAGAGTCCTCAATTGCTCCTCACATGACAAGCCCTTTATCCCCGGCATCATTCTTGTGAACCTCCTCTGGGCCCTCTCCAACACTGGAACATCCACCCTTAGATACAGGACCCAAAACTGCTCACAATATTCCAAATATGGGTCTGACCAGAGCCTTATACAGCCTCAGCAGTACGTTCCTCCTCTTGCATTCTAGCCCTCTTGAAATGAATGCTAACACCACATTTGCCTTCCTAACTGCCAACTGAACCTGCATGATAACCCTAAGAGAATCCTGAACTGGGACTCCCAAGTCCCTTTGTGTTTCAGATTTCTGAAGCCTTTCCCCATTTAGAAAGTAGACTATGTCTCTATTCTTCCTACCAAAGTGCGTAACCTCACACTTTCCCATTTTGTATTCCATCTACCACTCCTTTGCCCAGTCTCCTAGCCTGTCAAAGTCCTTCTGCAGCCTCCCCACTTCCTCAACACTATCTGTCCCTCCACCTCTCTTTGTGTCATCTGCACACTTAGCAACAATGCCCTCTGGGACCCTCCCTGATTCTAGTGATTCCTGAAAGATCACCTAAAAAGCCTCCACAATCTCTTCAGTTATCTCCTTCAGAACTCTGGGGGTGTAGTCCATCCGGTCCAGGTTATTTATCCACCTTCAGACCTTTCAGCTTCCCCAGCACCTTCTCCTCAGTGATGGCCACTACACCCACACCTGGCCCCGATACTGTTGAAGTTCTGGCATTCTGCTGGTGTCTTCCACCATGAAGGCTGATACAAAATACCAATTCAGTTCCTCGGCCATCACTTTGTTTCCTATTACTACTTCTCCAGCCTCATTTCTCAGTGGTCCAATATCCACTCTTGTCTCTCACTTACCTTTTGGATATCTAAAACAAAATCTTCTTTTACGTTCCTAGATGGCTTACTCTCATGTTTTACCTTCTCCTCCCATATTGCTTTTTTAGCTGTCCTCTGCTGGTTTTTAAAGGCTTCCCAATTCTCTGGGTTCCCACTGGTCTTCACCACATTGCATATGGGTGCAGCCCCCTCCAATGCCACCCCTGGTTGATCAGCCTTTGCCTTACCTGGCAGTTTAAACCAGGTGAGTGAAGGAGGGTCACTGGATCCGAAACATTAACTCTGCTTTCTCTCCACAGATTTTGCAAGACCTGCTGAGTTTGCACTATATACACACGTGCTCATGTACACATACACACCAAACGCATACACATTTGTATGCATACAGACAGACAACACTCACTCACACACTGGTACACAAAGGTATGCACATTTCAACATAGATTGTACACATACTTACATTTGCACGGACACACACACCATATACACACAAACACTCATGTACAGGTGCATGTACGCACACACATCACTCGCACACACACATACATGACTACATGTTCACTTACTCCCTCACACTCACGCATACAATCATGCAAATGTACACATTTACAATAACACAACAAACACATTCTCTCACTCCATGCTATCACAAGTTTACCCTTATACACACACTCACACTTACACAAAGACACATAGACACTCACACATGCACACATTCTATTCACACTAACAAACACAATGATCCAGGAACACGCCAATACACACTCTCACATGCACAGAAACTAACACATGCTAATATGTGCCCTGAAACAGACATAGTAACATGAAATCTCAGAAAGACTCAGGCACTCACACATTCATTTTGTGAGTCATACACTTGCACAGACACCATACATATCCATTGAAATGAACACACACACTTGCACAATAGCAGGCACTGAAACAATCACACACACATACTCTCTCACACACACACACACACACACACACACAGACACATACTCTCTCACACACACACACACGACAAACTCACACACATACATACACACACACATACACACACGCACACACAGACACACACTCACATAGACACACACACAGACACACACACACGCACACACAGACACACACTCACATAGACACACACACACACACTTACACACACAGAGGCATACATACACACAGACACACGTGCACACACACACACACAGACATACAGACACACACAGACACACACACACATCGACACATACACACAGACTTTGCTGAGGAGATCCCTGGGGTGTGAATGCCTGGTTGTTTTTTTCCTGCTGCCTGAGCTGACAAGGGTTAAGGGGATGGATTGGACCCATTCTGAGAGTGAGCAGTCTATTTTGGATTCTGACTGAAGGGGTGTTTGGTGCTGTAATCTGAAACCTGGGGGTTTTCAGGGATTTTCACACAACAGTTTGGCTAAAATCAACTGTACGATTGAAAAATAAAGACCGCTTCATATTTCCTGTTGTAATATCAAGACATTACTCAGCAAAAATTGTAATTTTAGATGACTAAATGATGACATTTCCTGTTAAAAATAAACTTTCTTGAAGCAGTGCCTCAAGCTGTATGTTGCTTAAACCAGTCAGGAAATTAAGCATACGTATTATATATCACGTTATGCAATGAATCACAGTACAGGGTGAGACCACTTGGCATACTTTATTTATTCATTCACAGGATGTGGGCATCACTGACTGGGCCCAGCATTTATTACCCATCCCGAGTAGCCCTTGAGAAGGTGGTGGTGAGCTGCCTTCTTGAATTGCTGCAGTCCATGAGCTGTGGGTTGACCCACAATGCCCTTAGGGAGGGAATAGCAGGATTTTGACCCAGCGACACTGAAGGAACGGTGATATATTTCCAAGTCAGGATGGTGAGGGGCTTGGAGGGGAACTTGTAGGGGGTGGTATTCCCATGTACCTGCTGTCCTTGTCCTTCTAGATGGAAGTGGTCGTGGGTTTGGAAGGTGCTGCCTGAGGACCTTTGGTGAATTTCTGCAGTGCATCTTGTAGATGGTACACACTGCTGCTACTGAGCGTTGGTGGTGGAGGGAGTGGATGCTTGTGGATGTGGTGTTGATCAAGCCGGTTGCTTTGTCCTAGAAAGACAGAAGGGAAGAGAAAGCTGGTGGGGTAGCATGCTTAATAACAGATGAAATGAGGACAGTT